ATTTCGACAGCCTCATTTTGCGTCCTCGAAAAACACCAGTGTTGTTTTTGTTAAAACAGATTTGCCGTGGCTGTTTCTAAATAAATCAAACGACATTTTAATAGGCCTTACGTCGTAACATGTGGCCGTAACTGAACATCTACCGAATATGGTACGATGCCAGATATTCACGAACGCGAGGATAAACAGAATACCTTTGAATACGAGTAGGTTTATCAAAGTAACCAGAAACTCATATCTCGGAAGCATTTTGTTTGTCATCATGCACATGTTCGTTGCGTTACGTGCACGACACTTGATGATTCGGTCTCATGGTATCAAATTTAGAAACGTAAAACGATTAACGGTTACGCATGATCGCAGTTCAAAAACGCTTCCGTAACACAATCTACCAGTTATTTTGATGCCTACGACAAGCAATGGCCTGCCTTCTGTTCATACCATTGTTAATGCATTAAGCAATAGTTGATAGATAAGGTCTCAGCCTTTAAGGTACAGCTGTGGAGTAGTTTACCACAGTTTATTTCGGAAATTTTGGCCCACACAGAATACTTATGGACTGAGTCCAGAACACGTTTGTTTATGGACCGTTCTAGGTTGTCCCAAGTTGGAACATAAGACTTAACAAGTATGGTTGTATCAGCATTGGATGCTTGATTATAACCCAGAAATAAAAGTGTGCCCAAAATACGGAAATTTTCCCCCAAAAGAAAATTCAATACTTTACCTTCCAGCAGTATTTGTCTACCAGCTCTTGCCTCGCTTAACACGGAAAGGATTCAATCCTATGGTCTCCTATGCTTTCCTTTTTGAAACGATGGTCATATTCTCGTCACAGTTGGGCTCAACATCGTTTCATGATCCCTCTATTTGATTTCTTTGGGTGATTAGGCTTGGCTCAGTCTCATCTAATAGCTTGAAAAACAAAATGTTCGATCATTAAACCATAATGAGACTAGCGCGAGAAAGGCCAATGTGTGTCATGCTGTCATAAACTATGTCTACAGACATTTACCCGTGCTGATGCACGGGCTACACAACATTCCATTGCCGACCGAAAGAGTACCTGTAAGCTCAAAACATTAATTCCAAAGTTATGTACATGATTTAAATCCAGCTGTGTGGCAGTATATACATAACTTGAGACTGATAGAGCGCCTTAATATTTAATACATGATTTCCTCATAGTTTTGAGGTGTACCTGATCGATCAGCGTCATCACGGTTACGGAGGTCCGTCCGCCTTTGTTTTTATGTGGGTTTGAAATCATCAAGACTCTATGTGGTCGGTATGCAAAGAATGCACAACTGATGCAATAAATACGATGTATGCACAGCTGATGCAATAGATGCGATGTATGCACAGCTGATACAACAAATGCGATGTATGCATAGCTGGCGCAATAAATACGATGTCGGTTATATTGATCGAAGTTGGGGTTGAATTTGTATTGTTAACATGCCGGTCGCCCCTCACTTAGAAGGACGTCAATAACAAACAACCAAGGTAGGTTGAGGCACTTGTGGGTGATGTAAAAAATCGGTCTACATGGTTACGTCTCATTTCCACTGACATGGTATACATACATATCCGGAAATTTATTCCGTCTAAAAAAGAGTTGGCTATGAGATGGTGAGGCCGCTGCGTCCCCGATAAACAGATGAGCTATATACGTGCTATGCTGCCGAGTCCAGTGGCTTGTCACTTCACCTGCAGGTCATTTCTGAGGTCATGCACGCTTTTTTGTACGACAGATACAATTCATACTTTGTGGAACTGTTGACTGGTTAATGGCCAATCCACTTCAAACCTCGATCGCGTTTTTGTACCTGAGTAGTAGGAAAAAGAGCGGCGTCAATGCGTATTCGTCGGGTTTAGTGATATTTGCACCTTGTAGTGCTCTGTGTATACTCAGAATTTTCCATCACGTCTTCGATGACGTTTTACTTTCTTCCATGTCTAGGATCGAACTTGAATTCATTCCCTGCTAGCACTTAATGTTTGAAGTCCCGCCAAGCTTGTCATGTACAATCAGCAATGAACATTGCATACACATATTGTTATGAGCATAACCAGTAAACTATGCATGTAACTGCCAAAATATTGGTACTTGTCACGCGCGGGGTTCTTTATGAGAGCTGCTGCGGTCATGTTACACCGACATTCAAGTTGTGGCCATCGCTACCAAACCTGCCGTGCCATAATCTCCGCTTATGGCCATGTCAAAATGCCAGGGATGAGCACGTTTTAGTTTCAACTGTGTTGCGTTAGCTTTTCGCGTGCGGAATTTGGTATTCGGTACCAGTGCTTGGTGAATAACTGACTACGCCACTATTATTTCAGAAGCTCGCCCCAGCATTGTAAACGCCCAATTTTTTCGACAGGCACGCAAGCTGAAGAAAGCTACGTTTGCAGCCAAGTGGTGACGATGAATCCCTTTATTTCCCTTGGTAATAGTGCCGACTTTGTTTTCGAATGGCTTGGCCGGCAATTAAATGGACATTGTAAACAGCTGACTGATTATGCAACTGTTCGAGGGTGTGCCAAACAGGGGCGGGTCTAGGATTACACAAGACCCTAAAACATCAACCTGACACCCAAGTACCCCTTTGCACATGGGCCAAAGCATCACTTTGTTAACAGAGAGGTACAGACATGGTGGAATATTTGAGATACGATGCCTCCAAAAAAGTGACGGTTTGGTATCCTTACAGTCTGTCTGGAATTAGGTGTTCCTTAAAAATATACACTACTGGGCCACGAAACGAAAATTTTGATGACCTTTCACGTTAGATTTCGATGCTCTTCGGAGCACCGAAATCCTCATGACCCAAAGAGAGGGGGAGGGGGTACAAACCAAAAGTGTCTCCTCGATTCACCACTGGCGTCAATGTTTGAGGGGAGAGGCGCGGGGGCTCCCAGTGTCTCTAGCAGAAATGAAAGTGACATTTGTTCATCCATTTGAATAGAGGAGCAAAACAATCGTGGATGTGTACCATGCAGAAGTCTGGAAAATGCAACTTCTGGGCATGCGCTTTTGCGAACCATCTGACGCGCCAGATATACGCCCCTGAGAGGCGTTGGCAACAGCGCTGACCTGCCTGCGACTCTAAATCAAACCTGATGCCACTTTGCAATAGGTTGTCCACAAAAGGGTTTCAGATTGCCAAAGTAAATGTTAAAATAAAAACAAAAGTTGACCAATTTTCCAGCCGTCTAACGTAGTTACAAAACGTGTAAGTGTATGCGCTTTATCATGCAAAAGCAATAAAAATGCAGCTGAATACCATTGGCTGTTATTTGTCTAACCCCGAGCTCGAGCCGATCAATCATCGATATTTCGACATCTCCCCACGGCAGTAATACACGTCCCCGAAATGTTTCTCTAAATATTTGATAGCAGCTCTATGTCTACTTCATTAGCCCTGGTACATAATCGCAACAGGCCATCTACAGTGTGCTCATGGGGCAATCCATCACCCCTGCGGGCCGCCGATAGCACAACACGGCCAACGTCTCACCGATAGCACGACACCGATATCGCCTTAGCTTGGCTCCACAGTGCAAGGACAAAGCCTGTTTAGCTGATGGTCGTCGCCTGACGTGACGCCGTTTGCTGCTTTCTCCGTGGCGACAATTTTTTAGTACGATCGCGTGACCTTAATTGCATACAGTGCTCTTCCATAGCTATCGGCTGTGGAGCAGCCTATTGAACGGTGCGTGGTGTGCGGGAGCTGTACACAAGTCGAGCGGTGGGGCATGTTGCTCAGCACATGTGGTGGTTGAGGGCTCGGGCATGTCCCTCAGCAGATGTAGTGGTTGTGGCTCGGGCATGCTCGTCAGTGGGTGAGGTGGTTGAGGGCTCGGGCATGTCCCTCAGCAGATGTGGTGGTTGAGGGCTCGGGCATGCTCGTCAGTGGGTGAGGTGGTTAAGGGCTCGGGCATGTCCCTCAGCAGATGTGGTGGTTGAGGGCTCGGGCATGTTCCTCAGCAGATGCGGTGATTGAGGGCTGATGTGGTGGTTGAGGGCATGATGCATCTGTGCCATGATGCATCATGTGCAGAAGCGCTGGTTCCCAGATAAACCTGGAAAGAGGTGCCGACGCGATGGCCTAACGCTGACGGCTGTCTCGCCAACTATCGCGTTCTGTGATCGTGCTTCGCGAGAATAACCGGCTTAAGTAGCCTGAGGTCTTGCTGGCGGTCGCAATAGTCGGGTGCTTCACACGCTTCAAAAGCAGTTCTTATATCTACTTCATTGGACCGAGTACAAAATCGCAATAGACCATCTACAGCATACTTCTACATCGAGAGCTCTTATGGTGGGCGCTTTTAAGGTTTTTTTTGCACGCAACGCCAGCTGACGTTATTTATAATTTCGCAAAATAGGAATACATTTTCTTCCAGCAAGGCCGTGGTAAAACCCTTGGCTGCGATCCCCGACGGGTTTCGGTCCCTCAGTCCACACGCCTGCTGGCAAATAATCTTTAAACGGACCGAGCCTGGTGCTTGTAGTTGAATGCTTTGGTTTTCGGGCCCATCTGGGTGCCGTGGAAACAACCTGGAAATCTGCTCACTGATTCAAGGATTCAAGATACGTTCCGTCGTGATATATTTTGCTCATCAGACTTATGCTTCTATGAATAGCGGCAAAACCTACGCAACTGATAAGCCGACTTGACGTGCGGCACATCGACACCTTACTTACTTCCGCCAAGATCGAGTCAGGCTCTTTCCCAGTACCGCAGTCCGACCTCCAGAGGTCGAGACTCGCATAAAAGCCGGGTCTGGTGCCACGCCGTTGCGCAACTGTTCCAGCTCGGACTGGTACCGCCCAGGCGTGAGCCGGCGCAGCCAAAAGGCGCCTCTAACCGCTCCGTTCCGCGCTGTGGCCCCGCCGCCGGCGGCGCTCGGCGCTGGCCGGCCGTCGGCGGCGGCGGCCGACGCTCGCCGGTATAAATCAGCGGCGACGAGGCGCCGTCCGGCAGTGCGAGCTCCGGGTCGGCGCCGATCAGACGGAAGGGGAGCAGCTCGCGGCACGTGCACGCGCAGCGGTGGCCCCCCGACTGACGCGCACCCACTACTCACCGTCAGCATGGAGCGGATCAAGAGCTGGGTGGTTGGCTTGGCGCGACAGGGGCGCCGTCAGAGGCGTAAGTACTGGCTTTTGGTGGTGGCGATGTACGTCAAACTCACGTGGAAAGCGCCAGGTGACGGGAGGTGGAGCAAAAGCGCAGGGACAGCAGTGCCTGCTTGCTTGCTTAGCAAGTCTATAGGGGCGGATAGCAAATAAGGTTGAGTCTTTGAGCCCACAGACTCTGATAACGCCCGATTGACTTTTCACGAATTCCGGTGGCAGAGTTATGAGTTTTAGTAGGCATACAAAGCTCAAAATTGCGGAAACATTATCATGGGAAAGGTCCCAAAACCATTCAATTCTCTTAAAACAGTCTGTTTATTTGCCTGGTCAAATGAACAGTCAATGGATTGGACTTCATACCATTAGCTTTCCATTCTGAACTAAAAGCCTGTGCGTTAGATTTCATAAAACTTGGCGCAATCCATTCGGCTTTAATAATGTTCTTATGTAACAAGTTCGACATTGTCGGGAGGGCAGATACATTACGGCGCTCTATCACCAATAATATCATATATACTCATAGTTACTGAACAAACCCGTGTTCCTCGTCCGCCGCGGCTTTCGCGTGACAAGGCAGGCATATTAGCTAGAGACGCTTTCGCATTAAACCAAAACCTGCTAGGAAGTGAGCAGCTTGAGGTAAGTCCGTTTCATCGCAGTTCGTTAAGTCGTGTGCGGTAGGTTCGTTCCAAAATTAGTATTGATGGAGCCGTCGTAGATAGCCTGCGCGGCTCCCCGGCCGCCTTTACGTGAGTGATGCTGTGCCGCACTGCAGCCAGGTACTGCGGGCCCCGCGGCATTGCGATTGTTAGCGATCTGTTCGATGCGATAAATTGATTGGCTGAGCCCTGAACCTGGTTTGCTTGGTTTGATTGGATTTTATAGGGGTTGACTGGGACGGTGTGGATCTAAGTGGGTTTTACTTATTCCAGATTTGGGTTTGATTGAGCCTCAGCGAGCCTATGCAGGTATTTTGTCTATAAACGTAGATAAGCCTGTACCAATCAAGCCGCATCGCTCAAATTGACAACCGCCGTGACGATGCCGCACCGGACTGTTTTTCATAATCATTCGAATCTATTTCGGCCAAAAGAAGGGTTTCCAGCCCGCAGCTTTTTGCAGATTTCTTTGAACGGTTTGAAGCAGGGCGCTGCAATGTTTCTAACTTTTGCCAAGCGAATTTTTACGTGCTTTGTTAGAATTGTAGATACATAATATGCGGAGGGACCGCTCCGGGAACAGGTATTTGCGGTAACCTCCGGTCAATGTCAGCGATCATGCCAATATGGCGACTTCGCTCTGCTGACACGCACCGCCTCCCGTCCTAAAAAATAACTGGCAACTCTGATCAACAAGACGGTTCATCATCGACATAGTCATTGCAATGTAGCAAGAGTAGCACGAGAGGGGTTGTTCTAGAGCTCCAAAATGAATAGTTTTCCAGCAGTGCAAAGTGCACGACGGATCGTGTTGGTGGGATCCCCTGCAACAGACCGCGATCATGTACGCTTGCCAGCATGGTTAACGATGATACGTCAGACGCCGTCTGGAGCATTGTTGTTTTGGGAGACAGGGGTATGGGTCATATCCAGAAGTTCCTAAATAAACAACAGCGAACAGATGATTGACGAAATGTGTTTTCGTCGAGGGTCATGGGTAGTATGATGATTTAAAACCGCTCTGTTGGACGTATGTAAAGCGTGCGGTCAGGACGCCATGACCTACGCCTGCCAGTCAACTGGTGACAAACACTTCCGACCACGTCTTCAGCGAGTGCCTCCGGGGTGCACGCTGACGTCACAAACTCTCCGAGAGGCATCCACTCTGCATGCCGCAGGACACACTAGACTAGCCGCATTGGAGTCAGCGGGTTTGCAAACGTGCTGGAGAACTTTAATAGTTGAGGACCAACGGCTCCGATTCTTACGGTTTTCAAGGCTCAAACTCCGAATTCACAACCTTGCAAACGTTTGACCTGACAACGCCGGTGTGTCCGCTGTCGCGGCGCCTGCACTCGCAGCGCCTTAACTTTGAAGCGATTTCGTCACGCCTGGCGTCACGTCACAGCCTTCTCCGACGTCTGTGCCCGGTCGGACCACGTCTGCGGTGCGTATTGTCGGTACCACAGTGACGTCACGCACACAGCTCAGTTCACGCCTGTCCTGCGTGGAGAGAGGCACGGGGAGGGCCGTCTCCAGCGAGCTGGCGGGGCCGCGGCGCCTTCCCGCGGCCACCCGGCTGGGGTGCCCTTGTGGCGCCGGCTCGTCCGGACGGGCACGCAGTGGCTCCACTACCGCCTGTCGGGCGTCACGCTTTGGGAACGACCGTGGACTTCCGTTGACCAACCGGCCTGTCGCGCCGATAGACCAGTAGACGCGTTGGCTGCCATGCCGGTAGATCAGTAGATGCCGGCTGTGGTCAGCTGTCCGACCCTTGGATCGGCCGCTGTTTATTGGCGTAGCTGAGTTGGGCGCGCGCTCGCGCGAGCCTGGTCTGTCTCAGCGCATTTTGCCGACACCGCTCCCACACATGTCCTCCGCAAGGCGCCACCGGTCGGCCCGGTGACCCCCAGACGCTTCCGGTGTGCCCGAGCTCCCGGCTGACCCGCACGTGGTGACCATGAGGTTTGGGCTGGACGTCTGCGGCGGCTGAAGCAGCGTGGCGCTCGGCTGGCAGGCCGTGCTCGTGACCACAGCTGGGACCGAGCTGACAACGAACGGCTTCAAACGGGACGTGTCGGCTTTTTCTGGAGATAAATCAGCCTCGGCTATGTAATGCAACGGATAATGCATCTTTAGTTAGCAAGGTGGGACTCCGTCCTATTCCATGGTTTGTCAGCTGGATTAGTCAAATTGAAATAAATTTGATATCTCTGGTATGTTTCCTATGCAAGGTGACACTCAAAATTGGAAACGTTACTTATGATATGATAGGCAATGCAAAAGTCTTCCTAAAACGTCGTCGAGGTTTCACCGCCGAAGCCGCCTCGGCATCAGTCAACGCTTCAGAGGTTTACGAAAAGCATCACGCGACAAATTTTCTTCGTGCACGTAGATCACCACTATGACGTTAACGATGGATAAAATCTAGGTCAAGTCAAGTTGGTTCAGACCATTTAACGTACAACTTTTCCGAGTCAAGTGATGTGTGTTACCCATCACGACCAGTATGCACTTCTTTGAAATCGTTGTTTGGCTCAGTGGGTAATTCAGTGCAACTAACCATCGTTTGGGTTTGGCACCTTGGCTTTGACATCACGTGGTCATTGTTCTTAGCCGTATGCTGGCAATGTGTAATCCGATTTCCATGGCTGCTGCCTGGGCTGTCACGAGGTCGAAGCGGTTGATGAATTGCATCGAGGAGAGGCAAAATAAAGAAGTGAGCTTCAAAGTACCACTGCTGGAGGTGCTCTGTATTCATTCATGCATATATCTCGGACATATGACGTCACGAGATGTCATACATCGGTTCTCTGACCAGGCAGACGGTAGCCACCGAGAACTGGTGCGGTAAAATATAAAATTGATACTTTTTCATCAACCGACACTTTAGAGGTGATCAAGATGTACTCGTAACAATGTAACTAATCTTTCACCCACATTTAAGGGTCTAACTACAGTGGGTTGAGAGCTACGCTAGAGGGTCTGACCTTTAATCTTCCAAGTGGTTGCAGGTTGCGTCGCTTAACTACACTTCCCCTGCCCGCTTCTCCATGCAAACGGTGATGGCCGGAAGCAAAATGGGTGATTTAGGTGGGATGCTTATGTGGAGCACTCTAACTTTTGACCCGGCATTGATAATAAAACGATCGATGATTTTGCCAGGAACTGAAATCTGCTAAAGCAGTGCAGTGCAAGCTAAGCGATCTGCTTCCGCTGCAAAACTTAACCCGCGCCTGGCCGGGGAAAGTTTCCTTTTCACTACGGTTTTCAAGCACAGGTCAAACAGGAACGCTCGCAGCGACACGAAATTTAGCAGTCTCTGTTCATATATCAAGTTGGCGTCCTTTGTGCGTATTTGAAGAACTTATCTACCAAGATCAGTGACCTAGGGCGGGTCAAAGAGGCCAGCTGCTAAAATAATTGCCATTATTCAAGCCTGATATTGTAATGTAACGTGATAATACCTACAGTTTGTTTCTTTCAATTTTTCGAAACTGGCGAGGCCAGTGACCTGAAATCAGGCAGGTCAGTTTTTTATCCACGGTGAATGGTCTATGTTATCAGTAGCGGAGAAGCTGGACGAAGGAGTGCGACGCATATAACCACCTCCTTATCGTGTTTGTGAAGCTGATGGCGTATAACTTCATGTAAGAACGTGCATGGTTTCAGTTTATTACAAATACATCGTCAAGCGTCGAAGGGAACATGTATTATGTACTTAACAGCAATACGCCCTTGGGTACCTGCACATGTACAATACACTGTTTCTAGCCACAGAAAATTTGCACTGATCACATATGCTCGGTAAAAACTCTATGTTTCCATTCGGTTGGTTTATAAATTCTATCTTACTTAGCCTGAAGTGACGTCTAGTGTTTTTTTCTGTGTGTAGAGTATTTTTGTCCCACAGCCGCACGAATGGCATATGCTTAGTCGCAAACACGATGCGAAAACACATCGTTCTTGTAGGCTTGTGGCAAATCAATTTTTAACGGTGACCTGATCTGACCTGGTCATTGTGGGAGAGAAAAATAGCCTGGACAGACTCCCCACGGTTTTAATGGTTATTTCCGTGCCCTCAATGGCCATCCTGGCGTGTAAACATAGGTTTTAACTGCACCTTTCAGAACGACTGTTTTGGACTTCTTGTGACCTGTGGTGACCATACATTTGACCTAAAGTCAAATATTTGGATGTACGTTCTCCATGATTTGACGAGACTTGCACAATATTATCTTTGTTTTTCCCCATACGGTGTATAGAAGTTGGAGATTTTGGGGGTCAACTGCCCCCCTGAGCACAGGTGTACGCTCGAGCCACGAATCCCACATGACACGAACAGAAAAGAGCC